GAAATGTTACATTATTTGTCTCCTTATGTAGTTTTCCTCTGAACAGAAAATTTACTGTTAGGTGTAGCGAAATAATTTCCATTCGAATTGGAACTAACTAAATCCTGTATGAGGCTGTAGTCTTGTATACATTGTTCCTATCACAGATTCCCCCACCCCAGCTTTGGAGCAAGGAGTTATTTCAGAACTCCTTGGTCCAAAGGGATAAATTACATCAAATAAACTCAAGATTAGCCACCATTTTCTATATTACTAACAAAAAGAAAAACAATATAACTTTCAGTTTACCAATGCAATTTGGATAATTACGTAATTAGTCTCTTAGTCTTTAACCAATAATTAATTTCCTGTTTAATTTCATTTTCACTGGTAACAATAACATTTTCAAAAATCACGAAATCTTATCATACATGTTAGTTTTCTTTTAATCCCTATTTCCACAAAATGAGCCCTGGTGTAAAACAACATAGGTGCCTTCCACTACTGTGAGTTTATTGGTCTCTGGCTCTTTAGCCATAAGTGTTGGTGGAAGGGGATCTCACACTCAGTGGGAAGGTTTGCATCACAAGAAAAAGTCACTCTAGTCTATTTTTAGACTTTTTAATCTTTCAAAGTAGCAGGAGGTGAAGGAGAAGTGATGCAGAACTAGTGCTGTAAGTCCAGTGCAAAACTGAGACAAAACTATAGAATTAGGACTCAACATTCGGGTATCCTGCAGCCTGAACATGGAGCCATCACTTTTGCAGCGTGAATGTCCTTGTTCCACAAGGGAGCCAGACTGGGATGCATGGTGAGGAATGTCCTCAGAGGGCACCAATTGCTTCTCTCATTTCCTCATGACACTTTGGATCCAAATGGTAAAGGACAATTGTTTCCAGTGTAACCATGGCATCATTTGGGACCATAATAAATGCCATTGAACTATAGAGCAGGGTTCCAAAAACAGTTTTACCTGGGCCATACATCACCACAGTGTCCTTATCTTGGATGAGAAGCAACCACTTTGTTCCCAGTACTAATACTGTAGTTGTTGCCAAATCCTTGGCCTTGGTCAGGCTAAATTTACACTTCACTGAAGTAAAATCCTTTACTAAACCAAATATGTTTTCAGTCATCATAGTGAGGAATATTCCCCAAAAACGCCCAATTTGTTTCTTTAATGTGGTGGCACAGATCTAAATGAGGGATTAGAAAAAGGCCTGGATCTGAATCCCTGTAAGCCCCCAGTGGTGGGGTATCTTCAGAAACAGATATTCTGCTGCTGTCCCACATTCAGCACTGATTTCATTTTATACACATTTGCAGCATCTACAAAACATGAGTTCAGCAAAATGCCATTTTGGTTTCCTCCACATCTGCATAGATAGTTACAGTATTTCCCAAGTCATAGGATTATCTAGGTGATATTGTCAGGTGTAAATGCCTATAGGGCCTGGACTGCAGCTACTGCTGCTATTAGCCAAGATGGTCAGGGATGCAACCTCATGCTCTGGTTATCCCTAGACCTCTGACTGCCAGATACTGTGACTAGATCACTTGATGATTGCCCTGTTCTGTTCATTCCCTCTGAAGCACCAGGCATTGGCCACTCCCAGAAGACAGGATACTGGGCTAGATGGACTATTGGTCGGACCCAATGTGGCCATTATTATGTTCTTAGGGCCCCAGATACAAGGCCATTTTGCCTAGTTCCAAGTCATTTACTGTGGAATTCTCTCCTTGGGTCATCTGAGACCATATTGACCAAAAGAATTTAACAACAGTGTGATCATATGCAGTTACTTCAGTTAGTTGCACAAATTGGGATGTGCTGTTGTTCACGTTTCAGAATGGAGAGTTCCTTGGTAGCATGCCCAAGAGCTTGGAGTATTCTCTCCAGTTGAATGAACTGAATTTGAACTTCCTCAACATCAACATGGAGTGATGGGGAAAAAGCAAAAATAACCTGAGAAATTACTATTTTAGTAAATGGTCATTTATCTCAAAGTCCCCAATAAATCTGAGCTACATTCTGTCAAATAAAACTAATATCCAGTCATGTGACCAAACGGCCTTCAGAAAAGAAAGAAAAACCCACAGAGAGAAGAATAAGACACTTTCCATTTCATATCAAGTGACATTCCAGAGCAGGTTGCATATGACACAGAATCAGGACAACAGGTTCTCCCGTTATGTTCTCCTCTGAGCCATTCAAAACCACTTTACTCAGCACTCCCTCTATTATTGTCATGTTATTTACAATAGTTTTATCATCATCATAATGGGAAAACAGGCAACCTTCCCATCTGCCAACCAGCCCAACTCATCAGGAAAAGGCCCAGAAGTGACTTTGCCAATAGACAGAAACGGTGATTTAAACTCAGAATGACCCCACTGTGTTTCGGATCAATTCCAGGTCTGTGACACTTTCATCTCCTGCCCTAATGAGTCTAATTTAAGATTAAAGGAATCAAACCACTTTGGGACACTTTGGGAGGTGGAGGGGTAGACTGTGAAGAAGATAAACCAGGGGTCTCAAACACGCGGCCCACGGGCCGGTTAGTTTCTGCGGCCCGCGAGCTCCTCACAGCCCCTCCGCCCTCCCCCAGCATTTACCTAAAACGGCTCTGGCCCGGCACGCACCGGGGGCAGGGTAGGCTCCCTGCCTGCCCTGCCCCCGCGCCGCTCCGGAAAGCGGAAAGAATCTAGGGGAGGAGAGGCGCAGGGGTGTGTGTTGATGTTGCATCAGGCACTGCCCCCAGCAACTCCCATTGGCTGCGGTTCCCCGTTCCCAGCCAATGGGAGATGCTGGGGGGCGGTGCCTGAAGCAACAGCAACACACACCCCTGAGCCCCTCCTTCCCCAGGTTCCGTCGGCTTCCCGGAGCAGTGCGGGGGCAGGGCAGGCAGGCAGGGAGACTGCCCTGCCCCCGGTGCACGCCGGGCCAGAGCCCGCCCCCCCAAACCCTTCCTGCAGTCTAACCCCCTGCCCTGAGCCCCTTGCCGCATCCTGCACCCCAACCCCCTGCCACACCCCTCCTGCACCTCAACCCACTGCCCTGAGCCCCATGCCGCACCCCTCCTGCACCCCGATCCCCTGCCCTGACCCCCTGCCGCACCCCCTCACCCCTCCTGCACCCCACACCCCAACCCACCGCCCTGAGCCCCCTGAGGCACTCCTCCTGCACTCTGACCCCCTGCTGCTCCCCTCATCCTTCCTGCACCCCCTGGTGGCAGGGAGGGGGTGGAGTTGGGGTGAGGATTTGGGGGATGGGGTTGAAATGGGGGCAGGGAAGGGGTGGGAAGAGGTGGGGCAATGGCAGGGCCTCATGGAAGAGATGGCGTGGGGGCGGGGCCAAGAGCAGTAATGCAGCCCTTGGGCCAATGTTCTAGTCCTCATGTGGCCCTCGTGGTCATTTGAGTTTGAGACCCCTGCTCTACATGGCTCAGACAGAAGGTAACCAATACTGAGGAGATGGGGGAGAAGGGAATCCCTCTAACTGCTCCCATCTCCTCGGAGTGCCACAGGGGCTGCCCCGATCCTGTTCTTTATTATATTTAAATACATTTCAAATGAGAAAAACGGTACAAAAATAACTATTTAGCACACTCCAGGGCAACGTGAAAACAACTGAGAATGAGACATGGGGGGGGGGGAACTTGGTGACACTTTGCAATTGGGGAACAGTGATGCTCCAGGATTGTTTAGACTAGGACAGGGGTCGGCAACCTTTCAGAAGTGGTGTGCCGAGTCTTCATTTATTCACTCTAATTTAAGGTTTTGCGTGCCAGGAATACATTTTAACGTTTTTAGAAGGTCTCTTTCTATACATCTATAATATATAACTAAACTATTGTTGTATGTAAAGTAAATAAGGTTTTTAAAATGTTTAAGAAGCTTCATTTAAAATTAAATTAAAATGCAGAGCCCCCGGACCGGTGGCCAGGACCGGGGCAGTGTGAGTGCCACTGAAAATCATCTCTGCCATAGGTTGCCTACCCCTGGACTAGTAGAAGGGATAGAGCTTAGTTCAGGTCATGAGGAAATGTGCTAGCTGGCCTGTGTACAGTGGCCATGGTTCGGCCATTACTGCAAGAATAGCTGTGTTTGACATGAGAATAACTGGTAGATTTTACCTCACTGTAGCTCATAGACTTGAAGGACTATCATAATCATCTAGTATGACCTCGTGCACATTGCAGGCCACAGAACCTTGCTCACCCACTCCTGTAATAGACCCCTAACCTTTGGCTGAGTTACTGAAGTCCTCAAATCATGATTAAAGACTTCAAATTATAGAGAATCCACCATTTATTCTAATTTAAACCTGCAAATGACCATGCTGCAAAGGAAGGTGGGGAAAAAACCCAGGATCTCTACCAAGCTGCCAATTCCTTTCCACCCCCAAATATGGCAATCAGTTGAACCCCGAGCATGTTGACAAGACCCACCAGCCACTCAGAAAAGAATTTTCTGTAGTTAACTCAGAGCCCTCTCCATCTAGTGTCCCATCTCTGGTCATTGGGGATATTTGCTACAAGCAATTGCAGATGGGCAACCTGGCATTGTAGGCAGGCCTATCATCCCATCCCCTCCCCTCAATAAACTTATCAAGCTCAATTGTGAAGTCAGTTAGGTTTTTTCCCCCACTGCTCCCCTTGTAAAGCTGTTCCAGAACTTCACTCCTCTGATGGTTAGAAACCTTCATCTAGTTTCAAGCCTAAACCTGTTGATGGCCGGTTTATATCCTTTTGTTCTTGTTGCAACATTGGCATTTAAGTAACTCCTCTCCATCCCCAGTATTTATGCCTCTGATGTATTTTTAGAGAACAATCATATCTCCCTCGCCTTCACCTTGAGTCTTCTCTCATAAGATTGGTTTTCCATTTTTCGGATCATCATAGTAGCCTTTCTCTGCACCTGTTCCAGTTTGGATTCATCTTTCTTAAACATGGGAGACCAGAATTGCACATAGTATTCCAGATGAGGTCTCACTAGTGCCTTGTGTAATAGTACTAACACTTCCCTGCCTATACTGGAAATACCTCACCTGATGCACCCTAGCATTGCATTAGCCTTTTTCATGGCCACATCACATTGTCTGCTCATAGTCATCCTATGATCAACCAATACACCCAGGTCTCTCTCTTCATCTATTGCTCCCCACTGATTAGGCTCCAGTTTATGGCAAAAATTCGTGTTGTTTTGTCCCCAAGTGCCTGACATTGCCCTTTGCACTATTCAATTTCTTCCCATTTCTCTTTCTCCAGTTTTCAAGGTCGTCCAGATCTTTGTGTATTATATTTGGGTCCTCCTCCATATTGGCAATACCTCCCAGCTTTGTGTCATCCGCAAATTTTATTAGCACACTCCCACCTTGTGCGTCAAGATCAGTAATAGAAATGTTAATAAGATTGGTCCCAAAACTGATCCCTGAGGAACTCCACTAGTAACCTCCCTCCAGCCTGACAGTTCACCTTTCAGTATGACCCATTGTAGTCTCTCCTTTAACCAGTTCCTTACCCACCTTTCAATTCTTGTGTTAATCTGCATCTTCTCCAATTTAACTAGTAATTCCCCATATAGAACTGTATCGAATGCCTTACCAAAATCCAGGTAGATTAGATCTACTGTATTTTCTTTGTCTAAAAAACCAGTTATATTTCTCAAAGAAAGATCAGATAGATCTGGAATGATCTACCATATTATAAAACTATGATATATTTTATCCCAATAACCCTTTATCTCTTTGTGCTTTACTACGTTCTCTTTCAAAATTCATTCCAAGATCTTGCATATAGTTGAGATCAAACTAACAGGCCTCTAGTTTCCCAGATCACTTTTTTCCTCTTTCTTAAAAGTAGGTTCTATATTAGCAATTCTGCAGTCATAGGGTATGACCCCCAAATTTATGGATTCATTAAAATTCCCCCTTTTCTACCCAACCTGGGGCTGATGGAGATTCCTGGTAGGAGGAACACATACACTCCCATGACTCATAATTCAAATGAGTTGATAGAAAGATCAAAGAGATTCACCACAAAGAATGGTGAGATTTAAAAAGCAAAAGCAAGCAGCTTGCCTGGTGGACCATGGTGACACAAATGGTTCAAGCAGCCTTAAAGTTCACTACATGGGAATTAATAAAAGCATTAAAGAAAATATACATATTTTGTCAGCCTTAGAGAAGGTTTTAATGGTGTTTGTCTTCTTTGTGGATTCTCTGATGATAAATAAGGGCTGAGCTCTGATGGAAGTTTTTCCCACACTAAGAACATCTCTAGGGTCTCTCGCCTGTATGGATTCTCTGATGTGCAGTAAGGGCTGAGCTTTGACGGAAGTTTTTCCCGCACTCACAGCATTCATAGGGTCTCTCACCTGTGTGAATTCTCTGATGTCTAATAAGGGCTGAGAGCTGACGGAAGTTTTTCCCGCATTCACAGCATTCATAGGGTCGCTCTCCTGTGTGGATTCTCTGGTGTGTAATAAGGTGTGAGCGCCGAGAGAAGGTTTTCCTGCACTCACAGCATTCATAGGGTCTCTCTCCTGTGTGGATTCTCTGATGTGTAACAAGGTCTGAGCGGTAACTGAAGCTTTTCCTGCACTCACAGCATTCATAGGGTCTTTCTCCTGTGTGGATTCTCTGATGTGTAATAAGCGATGAGCTTTGACTGAAGCTTTTCCCACACTCACAGCATTCATAGGGTCTCTCGCCTGTGTGGATGCTCTGATGTGTAATAAGAGTTGAGCTCCGACTGAAGCTTTTCCCGCACTTATGGCATTCATAGGGTCTTTCTCCCGTGTGGATTCTCTGATGTGTGACAAGGGCTGAGCTCTGAGTGAAGCTTTTCCCACACTCACAGCATTCATAGGGTCTCTCTCCTGTGTGGACCCTCTCATGTCTAATAAGGGTTGAGCTGTCAGTGAAGCTTTTGCCACATTCACAGCATTCATAGGGCCTGTCTCCTGTGTGAATTCGCTGATGTATAATAAGGTGTGAGCTCAGAGTGAAGCTTTTCCCACACACACAGCATTTATAGGGCCTGGCTCCTGTGTGGATTCTCTCATGTTTAGTAAGGTGTGAGTGGCTACTGAAACTTTTCCCACACACAGCACATGTGTTGTTTCTGTCTCCCAGGGAGATTCTCTTCTGGGCTCTGATTTCCTTGCGTTCTTTGTAAACTCTCCGATAACTAATGGAGTTACCCATTTCTCCCCCTGGCTGGGTTCCCTGCTGCCTCTCTGGTCTGTGCTGACTCTTACAGGCTTTTCCCTGCTCATGACTCCTGGACACAATCAACTGGGATCTTTGCACTAATGCCCCATGCAGTTCCACTTGCTCAGCATCTTCTGGCTGAGGATTCGGCTCCTTGTTCTCATTCACCATCCCCTCCCCTGCCAGGACAGAGAGAGAAACCTTAGAAACAGGGATGGAAAAGGGGAGCACAAACCAAAGTAAGTGCTGAGGAGAAAGGGGAAAAAAAATCAGGCCCTGTACTTCCCCAAACTCTGCCTCATAAGGGAGAAAGGAGGGGATCAAATCTGCCTTTGCATCTCATCCAAACAGGGGAAGGGAGGTTAGGGAGGGAGCTTCTGCCAGGAGTCAGTCAGGACACCTAGGAAGCCATGAGTGATATCTGCCCTGAGGATACAGCACCTGATAGGGACAATTCTGAACTCGGAGAGCTCACAAGGTTTTTGTACATAATCCCAACTTCTTTTAGGCGCTGACACTTTTTGAGTTGATTTCATGATTCCTCACCTGTGCAGGCACTTTTCGGGATCTCTCTTTCTTCAGAGCCATGGAGATCTGAGACCCGTGGCTTATCCCTTTGTTCCAGCTGGGAGATCACATCGAATTTGGAAACTGGAAACCCTGCTTGGGGGGGAAGAAAACCAGGAAGATCAGCTTAAGTCATGGAGAAAAAAAAGTTCTGTTATTTTAACACCAGCCCATTTTAAAGCAATAAGATGTCAGGGTGAGTTCCACCAATTCTCAAAGGTGCAGGTGACTCTGTTTATGAGAGATTTAGCTAGCCCCATCTCTGCTGGGAACACACACAGCCAGATACTCATGGACAAGAGGGCTCCTAAAACACAGAGATGATAACTCCATGTCCCAGAAGGCAAAGACTCTAGTCACCCTGAAACTGCTTCTTGCTAACAGAGAGAGGCCCAAAGACAATGAAAGGTCATAGGGAAACTGGGACCAGTAAGAATGGGCTGGCAGGGTTCAATGTAGTATGGAATAGGATGGAGTGGGGGACGCCACCAAATGCAGCAGCTCAGGGTATATGAAAAGTCTCATGTGGAGAAGGCTGGGGAATTAGATGCTAAGCTCAGGATGCTCATTCCTCTGGAAAAGGAGACTGTGAATAAAAGCATAAGACCACGTGACCTTGGGAAGGACTGACTAAACGACTCAAGGACCCTGAAAGGAAGAGAGATTGTGGCTGATGCAGATGGGGAGGAGGGGAGTGAGATTCTCTGATTTCTTAGAAGTTTCAGTGCAAACCTGTGACATCACCAAGAAAGTGCCCATTTGTGTCAGGGGAAGAACTTGTCCTGCTTGTGCTTTCACTCCTGTGTCAGGAAATAGGCAGAGACACTGGTGAACATTTCACTGGCATTTTCTTATCTACTGAAGGCACCCGTCACAGGATGACGATGACACAGATATGGCAGCCTGGAACTGGTTGACACTGCGCACCACTCTTGCTGATAGCCACTGGTGCTCGCTATGCAGACAGGTGCTTCTGGAGCAGGGCCACATGCACAGATTGGTGGGATCACATCATCATGCAGACCCGCAAGGACCAGCAGTGGGTTCAGCACTTTTGCATGAAGAAAGCTACATTGCTGGAATTTTGTGAGTAACTAGCTCCGACCCTCCAGCATCAGGTCACATGCATGAGGATGACCATGGGCCGGGCCACCCAGCCCTGGTGCTGTCCAATGAGTTCCTGGTCTGCAGGACATGGTACCATGGAGGGGATTCAGGACATGGTGCGGGTGGGAGCAGGAGCCTGAACTCTCCCAGCCATGACCTCAAGCAGCCTCTCTAACACGTCTTTCTGCTGCTTTCTATCTTCCTCCTTCAGGTGACGTTTCCACTCCAGAGATTGCATTGTAAGTCTCTCCTTGCATGCTGCACTTCTCCTCATGCTCGGCAGCCTGCTTTTTGTCTTTCCATGTGCCACGAATCCTTTCCCCTTCGGTATTGTTCCTCCTTGTTGGCCCTGTCCAGGATGTCCATCATAAGCTCATCAGACATGCTTTCTCTGTAAGGGCTCCATGTCAAAATGTCATGGCGCAGTCGTTGCCAAGAAGGCTAAAGGCATATTGGGCTGCATTAGTAGGAGCATTGCCAGCAGATTGAGGGAAGTGATTATTCCCCTATATTCGGCATTGGTGAGGCCACATCTGGAGTATTGTGTCCAGTTTTGGGCCCCCCACTACAGAAAGGATGTGGAAAAATTGGAGAGAGTCCAGCGGAGGGCAACAAAAATGATTAGAGGGTTGGAGCACATGACTTATGAGGAGCAGCTGAGGGAACTGGGCTAATTTAATCTGCAGAAGAGCAGAGTGAGGGGGGATTTGATAGCAGCCTTCAACTACCTGAAAGGGGGTTCCAAAGAGGATGGAGCTCGGCTGTTCTCAGTGGTGGCAGATGACAGAACAAGGAGCAATGGTCTCAAGTTGCAGTGGGGGAGGTTTAGGTTGGATATTAGGAAACACTATTTCGCTAGCAGGGTGATGAAGCTCTGGAATGTGTTACCTAGGGAGGTGGTGGAATCTCCATCCTTAGGAAATTTTTAAGGCCTGGCTTGACAAAGCCCTGGCTGGGATGATTTAGTTGGGATTGGTCCTGCTTTGAGCAGGGGATTGGACTAGATGACCTCCTGAGTTCTCTTCCAACCCTAATCTTCTGAGTCTATGATTCTATCCCAGGCTTCTACTGGACTGGGGTTCAGCTACAAAGGTGGACAGGTGTCATAATTATAAAGGGAAGGGTAACAGCTGTCCTGTGTACTATAAAATCCCTCCTGGCCAGAGACTCCTAAATCCTTTTCCCTGTAAAGGGTTAAGAAGCTCAGGTAACCTGGCTGGCATCTGACCTAAAGGACCAATAAGGGGACAAGATACTTTCAAATCTTGGGGGGGGAAGGCTTTTGTTTGTGTTCTTTGTTGGGGTGGGTGTTCGCCCTCGGGACTGAGAGGGACCAGACATCAATCCAGGTTCTCCACATCTTTCTAAACAAGTCTCTCCTATTTCAAACTTGTAAGTAAATGGCCAGGCAAGGCGTGTTAGTTTTCCTGTTTTCTTGTGCTGGGTCACCCCCTCTGCAGTTG